TTTTATTAGCCTAACGGCCAAGGAACATGATTTGCGTGGCAGTGAATTGAATCTAATGCAAGAGCTGAGGAAATATCGACGAAGCGATGAAGTCGGCATGAAAAATCAAGAAGGCACCGCATCAACACGAAAAACCAAATCAATGTGAAATTGTTAAATCATTAAATTAAAAAACAGCAAAAAGTCAGACCGATTGTTTTCTTATTTATTCTGTTTGGATTTGAATTTCTTATCAGTTCAGACCCGTTTTTTACGTTGTAAGCTATTTCATGCAAATAAATTTCAGATCGCTTTTTCATTTTTGAACCGTATTTATGTGGTAAGTGAACGTGATTGACAAACTGTTTGTAATTTAACGTTAGCAAGAATATACATATTTGATAAGAGTCCCTTGTTGACGATCAGGCGACAATTTCGTTTAATAATCAGTTTAGTCTTGCTTTGTTCAATACGTTTATTAAAAAATTCAAATCATTTTCAATCTTTCGACGAAAGTATGGATAAAAAAGAGAATCATTTTGCCCGAGATGAAGAAATTTCAACTAAATTGGATCATTTGAAGCACAGATTAAATATTCAAGGTGAAAAAATTACGGGCGCCCAACAAGAAATTCAACAAATGAAAAACATTTTAGTCGATGCCAAAAGGAGACTTGAAAAATTGAATAAATAAGACGTCAATATGCTGCCTTATAAAATCAAATCTACTTCGCTGATCTTTTTGGGCAAAACTATAAAAAAAATTGTCATTCAATCGGAATACAAAAAGCTATGTAAAAATATCAAATAAATTTTAAATAAAATCTAATAGATTTTCTCCTCAGTTCGATTTGTGTATAAATTTATTTCTTGAAATAAACAAAAGAAAAATGGTTCGAGCAGTAATGCACACCTGCAGTTCAGGCAATTTTTTTATTTGTTTATTTCAACAACAGTGAAAAATAAGTCGTCTGCCATTTATTTCAGTAAACGGTCTTGTTTATTTACACTCGAGTTGAATAAAAATAGCATGATATTTGTTCAGAAGCAAAAACCAAGTCAAATCAACAGGACAAAATATTTGGCGTCAACGCGTGTGTTTCGGAAACCTATTAAAATGAACGGTATTAAATATGCTAAATTTTTATTGCTCTTTTAATTAATGAATGTCTTATAGGAAATCAACAACAATCGGCAAAAGAATGGTTGAACAGTTTAACTCCAACCAAAGAAAAAATAATATACCAACAAACGAACCTACAGGATATTCGCAAGAAATACGAGAAAATGCTCAAAAAAAACCAACAAGATGCCACCAAACTGCGCAACATTGGAAGGCAGATCCAAAAGTTCGACAATGATTTGAGACGTTTATACGACAACAAATAATGAAAATGCAACGCATTTGTTATACATTGTCACATTGTTTGCAATAAATAATCCCGAATCAAAATCAAGATCTTAAAAACATTTCTTATTATTTAATTTTTGCCCCACTTGTCACACAGAAAATGTTTGATATAAATTGCTATAAAAGCATCTGATCATTCAGATTTTTTTCACAGTTGAAGCAGAGAAAAAAGATTGACAACACATATTCAACATATTCAAATATTTCGATATTTTTTGTAAAACTTGTAGAAAAACACGAAAAAGAAGCCAAAAATGTCCGGTAAGTTAAGTGCATCGAAGAAAGTGTTCAAAGTCTTTAAAATCGTTGTTTGGTTTTATTTTCTGAATCAAGATTCGCCAAGCAAAATTGATCGAAAAGTGGCTCATCTGCAATCTCAAATCGAGCGATTGGAGCATAATGCATCGAATTTACTTGAAATGTCGATGCACGCACGAAAAGTCATCGATCAAAAAACGTTTATGATTAAAAGATTGGAAATGCGACGCACACACAAAGATGCTGATGACCGCAACTAAATGAGCAACATCATATCTGATGCGAATTTATTCGTTAAATAAATGCTCTCAATGAGCAGAATAAATAGATCTTTGAGTTTTTTTTGTTTTTAAATAAACGCTGTAGGTCTATCACTTCCATTGTTTAATAAAAGGTATCTTTCTTCTCTCATAAAGAACTGCTTCGGTAGACATTTTCTGGTGATGTAAGAATTATCACAATAGAAATGCAATCATAACGCTGCTCTTTCGAACAATTGGTTTTTTTTTTCTTCTGAAATGTGATTCAAAGTCATCAAGAGAACTTTTGTTTCAATTTTAAAAAGATGATGACTAAACCATATTAAAACCTTTCTTATATCATCAATAAACGATTCACATTTGTTTACATTTTGCGGAGTAAATTAAATGCGAACTCGTTTGGGATGTGGATGTGTCACAAGCCGTGTGATTCATCGAACTAAAATAATAATGCGCAATAATTGTCGATGCAATAATTGGATTGCCGAATTATTATGCTGCCTTCGATTCGGTCATTCAGACATTTGGTAATTGTGTTTCAACGTACGTGTCGGTGTGCACGTGACAAAATGAATGGTATTTTGAAATTGCCTGAAAGAAAGTTGTTCCATATTGTTTATTTTTTTTAAATAGATACGTCGCAATTGAGATGCGACAAACTTTGGCTGATTTAGAAAAAAAATAAATAGGTATAGTTTTTTTCGTAACCACGACGAGCTGACAATTTGAGCGAAAGGCTTGAAGTACTACGACCTTGTTCAGCAGCGCAAAAAATGTGATTGAGAAAAGAAAAGTGTTCGGTTTCATGCTTCTTCTATTGTATGCTGAAGGAATTGAATTTCATTGTAATGACGGAAATTTGATTGAAAATATAGGATGCCGATGAGGTTAAAATTTTCGGTTGACTCTTTTTTTGTAATGCATCGACAGGTCAATTTGAACAAAAGCATTGCTGTTTAAGAGATGAACTGCTTTACATAACACGACCAAAGAGAGAAGGTGGGAGAACAAGAGATTTGCAAAGTTGTTACACACTCAAAATATTTATTTGTTGAATTTAAACATGCTCTCTTTCTTTTGCTTCAATAATCGTTTCCAAGAATGTAAATTGTCTTGAACCATATGATTGTGCCAAAAAAATGTTTTTGCCACATACAATCAGCTTACTCAGTTTTATGATGTTCATTCACATAATGCTTGTTATTTCATGATTGGTTTTTGCTGTCTCTTGATTGCTTGGTTTGAAAGCAAAACAAATATATATTTTTAACATTCTCTGGAACGAAATTGAAAGATCAACATCTTTTGCGAAGATATAAAAAGCACAGCAACCCTTACCATCGACTTCAGTCTGAAATTGGCATTCAATTGGAACAAAACATTTGGTCATCGAAAGAAAATTAGGACGAATATTTGCAAACCGGAAAAAAGAACCAAGTTCGCGCAAATCGATTCAAACAGCGAAAATCTAGAGCTTGTATCCAGCATCATGGGAAACGCACCATCGAACTCGAACGAAATGTTCAATCCAGCGAATTGCCGTTGCCGCCAGACGGAATTCAAATACAAAATGTGTGAGTGTGGACGCAGCAAACCATCGAATGAACCACCCACCAAAATCCGTTTCTGGATTGACAACGACAAAATCCGAAATGGCATTCCGTACAATTCACTTGAGATACCAGAGCACGCAAAAACAGCCAAAGATCGAGATCCAGAGTATCAGGCGCTTGTGCGTGAGCTTCAAGGATATTCGAAACAAATCTCCAGCCAAAAATGATCGACACAAACACTATCGCAAGCACGGAATATTCGTATTCAATCACATTTATTAGCAGTGAAATTGTACTATTCATCATTAAGTATTTATTATTCAAAACGATAGCGAGATTAAGCAAACAAAAGCAATGAAACACAATCATATTTACCCCAACCTGTGAATTCGTTCATGAGCACAAATAAAAAATCGAAAGAAAAAATCATAACAAAACACAAACTGCTTTGATTCCGTAGATGTTGTCACATTTTAGCATATTTTTCTCCAGCACAAAAGTGTCTTGCTTTGATGTAAGTATCGATCGCTTTGTTTATGTGAGAGAAAAAGGTTTGTATTCTCTTGATACCTTAATGACAAATGCATCCTTCTGTCAGATCGTTTCCCAAGTGTTTATACCAACAAAAAAAATTGTATACAAAAGTCAGCGTTTGCGGTGGTCTCGCCTTATTATCATCGAGAAATGAGCATCTCATAAGTGATTTACCGTTCCTAGAAAATTGCTCTCTTTTTAAACAAAATGTTCGTGCTTGCAACTGCTATGAAATCGGTAATGAGTAAATGCACAAAGCGATAATAAAAACCTTAATTGAGCGAGAGTGAGCACAAATACATGTTTTGAAATTGGATCTATGTTTTCCGTTCATTTTGCCGCATTTTACACTTGACTATGCGGTTATACGCCAAACATGCAGATGTTTCTCATAATTAGTTTTTGCTGAATTTTTCAAGAGCACGACGAGAGAGGGAGAGAGTGTGGAACAACATGATTTTGGTTTTATTTGGTTTTTAGTCACTTTTGCCATATTTCAATACTTTGCTTTGGTTAATTTACTTGACTTCTAGTTCAAGAGGTGGATACAACATCAATTACGATCTTCGGCTGGGAAGAGATGTAAGAAAGAAACGACAAATGTGAATTGCGTGAGTTGAATAAGTGGTACATAAAAGAGATGTGAGTAATTTTCGTTGTCAATCGACTTGACAAATGAAATTCAAGAAGAATGCACCGAGCAACACACATTAGTCCCAATTGACTCGCCATCGATTGATGCATCACACTCACGCATATGCTCGAGAAATTGTAATGGCTCCTATTTTCTTACCTTAAAGCAAAGTGACTACTTAGTCGGTTATTGTTTCACCGGAAGCATTTAGATTAGAAAAAAAGCACTTTTACCTAGACATGTCCTTTCATACCGACCGACAACATACTTACATCTCAATTTTTAAATGCTAATTTCACTTAAATTCAACTGAAAAAGACTAAAAATCTCCTGTCAAATCAAATCTAATGAGAATAAATCGAAACATGTCATTTTGGTACACTGTTTACATTTTATTTCAACTATTTGTATTTTGGATTATATTCATTTCTTAACGAACTTACATTTCAAATGTATTAAATATCGAATTAATTAATCGAATCCAGTGGCGTAGCGTGAACTTTATTTCGCGGGGGGAGGTGTTTCGACAAAGGAAAAAAAGATCGTAATTTTTTATTACAAAGAAAATTCTATCCAGAAGTCGATTCTATTTGATATAACTTTCATGCGTGTTTATAATAATGTGAATCATGGTTTATATTTATTTCTAATTTGCAGAGAACAAAAACAAAATTGGTAAATATTTGTACGCTACGCCACTGATCGAATCGTCAGATCGGAATAATTTTTCCGGAAAAACTATCGGACTTTTTTTCATCTCTAGAGAGAGCGAGAGAGAGTAACTTTTAAATTCGAATGTGATATCGATTATTTTGTAACGCAGTACAAAAGACGATCACTAATTTTCGTGTTTTTTTTTTCTTAAAAAAAAAAAATAATTAAATTGAACGGTTATAGAAAAGTGTTGAAAAAAATGACATAATTAAATGTTTTGGCTATGGCCTGTTGGAACTTTCAAATTCAGATTGTTCTCTTACATGGATGCGATCTTCTTACGCTTGACCATTGGACGTTGCGGTTCGAAATGGCCATCGTCGGTCTCATCGTCATCGTCATCGTCATCGTTGGTGTTGTTATCGTCATCATCGGTCTCAATGGCTTGGTGCTTTCGCTTCACAAACCGTCCCGGTTTATGACTTTTGAAATGTACCCAAAATTTTGGCTCCTTGGTGAACACATCGTCACATAAGGGGCAAACGAATAGTTTTTTCACCAGTTTGACAATCTTCTTTTGACGATTCTTTTTCTTGTCAACCTTTGACAGCTTTGATTGCGATGTGTTTGATGCAACTGTGATGGTTGAGGCCGTTGATGGCTTGTTTTCTGGAACAACATTTTCTGAAACAGCGGTGGAGACAACAGTAGCGACGACAATATCGACGCCATCACCAGTATCAGTCACATTGGCCACCGATGGTTCAACCTTGGCGATGGGTGTGCTCTGCGGCGGAACATTTTCTTTCATTTCCTCATTTGGATCAACGCTTTCATCGTTAATGTTGTTCGATGTATTTGGTTCATTTTCTGCTTGTTCGTGACCAATCTGTACTTCCAAGTCATCATTTGGTTGAACCTTTTCCATTGAACCATTTTCCTGTGGCTGTTCCGCTTCAATCGCATCGTAATTTCCTCCCCCAGTTTCTGAATCACTATCCACCGAAACCACATCCCCGATAACAAGTTTTTGCACCGAATTCCGATTTAATTTATCGAAGAATTCATCAATCTCTGCAAATGAAATGCAATGACAAAGAATAATTAGTATAAAATACAAGCATCATGCATACGAACGTAAAATCAATAAATTAATTACAAAAAAAAATCAAAACAAATTGGTTGCTTCCAACAAAAAAATATCATTCACTTACGTCGACGAATCGACTCCACGAGCGACTTAAAACCGTTGTTTAGTGATGTCGTCTCCATTATATTGGCATTCTTCGCATTTATCTCTTCGACGTAATGATAAATGGTATCATTCAAATTTTGCAACTGTTTGTCACTGTTGACCTTCAATTCAGTCATTTCATGGTGATGTTGGTCTTCCATCGTGTCCATTTCGATGGCCATTGTGATGCAAACCTGATCGTATTTTTCGCGAACGCTCGTCAATGTTCCTATCAATGATTCAACTTGGATAATTTCATCCGTTTGTGATGTTTTGTCAACATTCAATGATGTGTATAACAAATTGAATGATTCATCATTCTCAACTGCACGAACAAGTGAATCTCCCATTTCTAAATGTACAAACGAATCAAACCGAAAAGGGTATTTGTTACTTAAAATAACAATTATTTAATCTAATTAATTCTAACCGTGTTTTGACACTGAAAATCGAATTCAGTAAAAAAAAAGTTTGCCGAGTCAAAAAAAATAATTTGATTGAAAAGAACACATAAAATCACCCTTTTGTATTCGTTAACATAGAAAAAAAAAACTTCTTTATAAATGGAAGCAAGGACAAAATCAACCGAATTTTGTTGGGTTATGTGCGATGACATGAATTTTCTTGCAAACACAAAGCATAAAAAACGTTCGAACTATTAACGGTTTTTTTGAATAAAAATGCTTGTAAATTGAATTTTGAGTAAAAATAGAAAAAAAAAACCGTCGATCAAAATCCAATGAAACAAACATTTGGACATTGGACATAAATTGAACATAAAAATTAACTGTATACAACTAAAATTGCCGATTGAATATTATTTTTAACATATCATGAAATTCGACGCACATAGATTTAACCGAATTATTTTTGGTTTTTCGTTGGGAAAAAGTTGCATGACCGAAAATATATTTGAGGTTTTCTTTCGAAAAAATATTCACCAAAAAATACTTACTTTCAACGATTTCACAATTTTAACAAAACGCACAAGATATAAACGTGTTGGACACTTGACCGGCTTCGATAATAGACAGCAGCGTAATGAAATTATGTCGATGGTATATGCGTTTTTTCGGCAAAGTGTCAGCTTCCGTGTTGAAAATGGCACCGTTAGTATTGGTGCATGCCACAAACCGAATGCGCACCAATTAGATTTTTTTCTCACACTCTCACGCATAACTTAACAAACGGCAAATATTCTGCATGTATACATGTTGAGATTGGAAAACAATAGCTGCATTGCATTGGTATTAGTCGAATGTTCCGGCATGTTCAAACATTGATGCGCCTCCCATCAAACGGTATGCGATATCAAAAATCACCAACTCGAACCGTGTCGATTATCGGCTAATACATTCAAATGCTTACTTCGATTGATGCGTTGACTTTAATGCGAAGAGAGAAAATCGAACAGCATCAGCACTTTTCGTGCTCGACTTTTGTTGTTTCATATAAAAAGGCATTGTTCGTAGAAAATTGTTGCCACCTCATTTCTGAAATAAACAAAAATGCCAACAGCTGTGCTACAAAATTGATATTTTCATCTCTCGTGCACAATATTTGATTCGATGATATTTTTAATCGTATGAATGCGAATTTCCGATTTATAAAAATATTCATTTCTTGCAATGCTTTTTTTTCTTCTCACTGTTTTCATATCGATCATTGTGAATATATGAACTCTTTCAGAATATTCAGGTTCTCATTATTATCCATGTCGCATTATAATTGTTTGAATTGCTAAAAAAAGGACTTGCATATTATTTTCTTCATAGCAAATGGAATGAATGTTATTAAAATAGCTGTGAAGAGCAATGAACAAAAAGTAATGCTGCGGCGCAATGATAGAATGCTAAAAATAAATCAAAAATCATTACCGCAATATGTGAAGAAATTCAATGTCAACTGTTTCTCTTGGCTTGGTCTCACACAGCACAGAGTCGCATACAGCGCATTGAGCGCTGTGTGTATGTTGATTGCACAGTTGGCATCGTAGTTTGTTGATTTTAGCGCGGTACAAAACAATGCCATGGCATTCAGTTTCGTTTATATTCCGAAATTCACGAGAAAGAAAGACGGCAGGAAAAAAAAGCGAAGAAAAAAATGATGAAGAAGAAGAAGAAGCAGACGAAGGATGAAAATAAGAGCACAAAATTGTGCATGATGCGAATGGCAAAATGTTTTAGTTCAGATTAAAAATGTATGTTTATTTTTGTCCGATGGAAAAATTGTACCTCGGCTTATTGCATTCACTCAATTCTTTTCGATCAATTTGCAAATATTGATAATGAATTTTCTGTGGCAATATGCTAAAATAGTAGAGAGTGCACGAAAATAGCACTGTTTTATTTCACACCGTAACAGCCTAGCCTGTACACACGGTCATCGAACGAAAAAGGCATTCCCTTTGTTTAATTTCTTCACCTCTTTCTCTGTCTCTCTCTTTCTGCCGTACACTCACTCACAGTACAAAAAAGAAGTTTTGAGAGTCAGTTTTAGCACCTTGTATGCCACAGCAGCAAAAAGTCGGTGAAATATGATAGAAGTATTTGCGATTAATGTGAGAGAGGAAGGTGGCATGTGTACGCATTTAGCACTTTCGATAAGTGCACATTATTTCCACGTCTTTGCGTATTCCATGCAAATATATGCGATATATTGAACTTTACGTACCATTTTTGTCTGCATCATATTTTCTGATGTGCATCCAGAGTTAATTGTAAGTCAAATAAAATGTTTCATCGATTAGTATGCATGTGTGTGTGTGTGCGGCCGTAGAAGCGTAAATTGGAAGCAATGTACACGTTTGTCGTATATGCTTTTGCACAAACACACGAACATCATGGAAAATTACTGAATGTTATTTTATGAACGTGTTGATGTGTCAATCCAAATTATTTGATCAGATTTCATGTTCAAGCATCGTTTGCTGCTATGCAACAATATGGCATCAAATGCCAATATTGTCTTCTGTTGTGTTTGAAAGGCGCACAGAATTTTTCCATTGATTTCATTTTGATTTCCAAAGCATTTGAATTTAATAATCGTTCGATTGTTTTTCGATTGATGTGACAACTAGCGACATCACATCAAATCGAATCGGAAAGTGGCAAGTGAATTTTGACAGATTCACATCAGGAAATTTCGTTGTACATTAAATTATGTAATCGTTTGTCACAAAACAATCCAATTATATTCAATATTTCGTAATAAAAATCAACAAACTTGCACTACATTTTCATGGTTAAAGAGCCATTCAACGAATTGACCATTCATCGGAGCAAATGCAACAATTCGTGACGGCGCATTTATCAAAAGTAACTACAATTTGAACGAAGACATTTTTTTTAAGTTTCAAATTCAATGTTGATTTGTTAACAAATATGTGTCTATTAATGTTTGGAAATAATGTTGTGATTTGCACATATTTTTTTCTTCCATTCAGTTGTAAATGTAAATATAAAGACACATTCGAGAGAGAAAAAAAAACATTTATTACCAAAGGTAATGCGCTGTCGGCAATTCATTTTATCGTTTTACATTTTAGACATCAGATATTCACACAGACGAAATTGATGAAATACACAGAGAAGGAGAGAATGTGCTGATGTTGTTGGGTTGCCAAATGGAGTGTTCATTCAAACAGATCTGATTTGGAAATTTAAATTGAACGTCAAAGGCTACATGAAAGATGCATCCCATGAATAAATGGATTTTTTTTCGTTTCCAAGAAACAAATGTAAAATTGACATTAATCGACAGCTACTATGATTAAACAACGAATGTTCCGTGTCGATGGCAAAGAAAGATGGGTATAAATGATTTTCTATTCAACATCTCATTACTTTTCTTCCATTAAAAATTCCATGATATGGCATATTTTAGTAGATTCTTACGTTAAATTGCATCACTTTTATGGAAAATTACCGATAATTTATTCCATTCGAAATTTGTCGCCTTTAATTTTACGAGACTTAATTGTGCCCGCAGTGAACGCTTATAAATTATGTATTTTTTTTAAATGATTCAATTTAAATAGAAAACATTACTATTTTCTTATTGAGAGCAATCGCGTAATCAAAGCCAAAGTATATAAATATGTTGTATTGAGTTTGCGGTACGATCTTGGAGTTCGGTAATCGGCATAAAATGTGATTTTCTTTGATTGTCTTTCCTGTGGATCGTGAGACCTTTAAATTAAGCCAAAACAAAGATAAATTTTATGCAAAATTCGTTCGCATTGCAACAATGCTCAATCGAACGGCTGTTTTCCAATAAATTTCAATTTATACAAAGTAGCGTAGTCATTGACCAAATATTGGCCATTTAAAGCGGTTCATTTGAAAATAGGTTGCATTCACTTTATTTTATCTGCATGATGCCAATATAAAAATAGTAAAAGAAAACAACAATAACCAATCACTGCATTTCCAAATTCGTATATCGGAATAATAATATAGAGTTGTTGTTCGTCTTTTGCTTTATTTGTTTTTTTTTTTACGTAATCGGCTCTGGACTTGAAACGGGTCGCTGTAAAATCAAAGCCATGTTATTTGGGGCAATGGCGATAAGGATGAAAATTGTGTGTTCAATTTAAAGATTGCAGACAATGGGCAACTCCAGGGCAAAATTGGCTCTTCACGCATTCTACATGTAGGTTTTGTTTTGCATTTTTCTTTTCGTATTTTTTTGCGTTGAATAAAAAGTGTTCAGCGTGACTCTTGCTTTTGGTCAAACACGATTTTTATGTAATTTCTGTGTGTTTCCACTCAGCCAATATTGACAAGGACTGTGTACGTGTATTCAAAAGCGAAATTGGCTTTTGAAAATGCCTAGCCTGCTGATAAATTGGCTATCTCGGAGCGCACACAAAATAAATGGTCGGACGGCGTTCAGGTAATTTTTTTTACGCCAAAAACAAAATCTCCATAATTTATTGTTTTAAAATTTTACTTTTCTCTCTCTCTGCGTCTCTCTTTTTCGATGATTTCGCTTTTCTCAAGGTGTTTGCGGACAATCAATGCCACTTTTTCTTGTGAGGTGAGATGTGCCTTGCATTCTGCAACAACAAAAGATTGCGTGATTAACCATTTTAAAGCGCATGTTCTTCGGGTTTTTTTTCTGCAAAACTTTTAGAATTCATGTTTGTTGAAACAAACAAACAAAAAATCTGTACAAATATCTTAAAATTTGTCTACCGCAGAGATTTTGATCAATCGATTCCGATGGCAGAATAATATGCAACCCGAAATCACGAAACAAAAAGCGAAATGGATAAAAAATTGAATGTTCAAGTGCAGACACTATTTTTAGCGCATTTATTTTTGATGCGAATAAAATAGAGCCAAATGTTTTGCAAAGTAATCATGATACATATTTTATTTTTAGACTCAATACTTGATTTAAATTTCAAATAGAAAACATTCACGTCATGGTGGTTTAGTTGAAGATCTTCTAGCCGTATTTGATACGACGCAAATGTATCTGCACATATCACGATGGGCAATTCTTGTTGAATAAAAACCAAAACGACCACATTGTTTACAATCCCGAATGGCAACCCAGAAAATTGACCTTGATACTATATTCACAATTCTCCTATTTTGCTGTCGGTTTCGATTTAGTTTCACTTTTTGTTCGTGTTTCACAAAGCCACACATAAATTCTTGAACACGGTGTGTTTGTGTGTTTTTTATCTACAACTTCTTGTGTTCACTGAGTGTTTGCGATTCTATGCGGGATTATACTCTTTTCTGTTCTTCTTGTGTAATAGATACAGTATATTCAAAGTAGAATGAGTTGTGGCTTTTTTGTGATCAAAATCAACGTTCTCGATAGACACCCAGACACACACAGCATATATATTATTTTACTCTCTATCATTGTGAAACTAAACTACGCATCAAATATACGCGACTTAACCATTAATTTCACGATTTTGCACGCGCATGCCTAACATACACAAAAAGTGTCTGCACCAACGAAAATGAAACGCTCAACAATTCTGCAACATTCAATGGAATCAAGGCAACAACGAGAAATGAAAAAAATAACAAATGAAAGTGTACATAAAATTCAAAGGAAAACAAATGCTAAAATGATTGCGAGCGGGTGCGCGCGTCATTCGCTTCAGTTTAAGCGTCTTGTGGAACGAACATCAAAAACAAAATAAGCAATGGCATGATGCTAAAATCTACACAAACAAATGAACACGAAAAAAAAATATATAATCATAAAATACGAAGAAGAAACGAAGTATCGGCGACGCATTAAAATCATGCGCTTTTCGCTTATGTTGTTTTTCAATGAAAAAGAGATGCAGACGATTGTCTTTTTTCTCTTTCCATCCTTTGCCGCTTGAAATAAACAACATAAATCCATTCTCGATAGAACAAAGGCCATGTATATTACAAAACTGAAATGAAACAAAGTGCTTCAAACCAAACCAAACACACATACACTCAATTACTACGTGTACGTTCTTTTTGTGTGCTGCTCTTGGCTTGGGTCACCTTGATCGTGAAAATGATACACGTACAACAATAATAATGAAACATTGAGTTTTGTTGTTGGTTTTTAATTCGCCAAGATTTCGGTTGTGTCGTTGTCTCTCATTCTTCTTCGGATCAGACCTCTTTCTATGCCGCAAAAGAAAAATTACGCAAAGTCAAAAAAACGACAACAAACTTATACGCACACACACAAGCATTCCAAAATGGATACACACAATGAATAACAAATCGGCAGTAAAAAAAATAAAAAATGAACGAGCATTCAGAAAGAACAAACGCCACCGTGGATTTTCACTGGCCGGGAATAGAATTTGGTGGAGAATGTCCCATGCATGGCTATAAATGGAATTGATTATTTTGTTTTTTTTTCGATAAAGATTTAATAATTGCATCGATTTTGAGGTAATTACACAAAATTCCGTGGCAATCTTCACAATTTATGGACAAGACATTTTTGAATTACTTCCCAAAATTCGCTTAAAATATTTTAAAATGAAATTTCGAGATTATGATGTCCGGACCCAAAAAAAGCACATCAAACAAACACGTAATTTCAAGGCTTAAAACTGAATTTAAAATTTTATTAAAAAAATTCACCATTCTCTTTTCTGGAAATTGGTCGAAATTGCATATTCAAAGAAGAGCCAGAAAAATGTCAATGCGAGTGATTATTTAGATACTGAACAAACAACAGGTTTTCAATGATCTTTCATGTTTGATCTTTTCCATTTGGATGATTTCGGGTTATCATCTGATGCATATTTAAAACAGCGAGATTCATGATCTAATTTGATCAAATATTCGGAAAAAAAACTATGAACATTTGAAACTATCAAAACTTTCCATTCCAAGGCCGTAAAAAGTGCATATTTGTAATTTTACGAGTCAGGTTCATTCTTCGACATGATTCATTGCAACGGTTCAAAATGTTCTGATGCACTTTGTAAAGCCGCTTGAGTGTCAGAATGACAAAAGACAAATCTAATTTATTTTTCCTTTTCAACTAAAATGTTGAATTTACTGTTTTTTTTCCTTTCTTCGTTGAACAATTGAAGAGAAGACAAAAACCCCATGCACACACGGGCACACACCTTTTCCATAGACAGGTTCATATTTCTTCTTGCATGCACAATTGGTCTTAAGCCTCCATTCTTTCTGATATTTGATATGCATTTACCAGAGATTGGGTATTGTTTACCAAAATGAACTCATCTGAGCCATTTTTACGGTAGCCCCATTAAAGATGTCTAGAAATACGTTGTGCACTGAAGAAAAGGTAATTTTTCAGAGTTGAAAGAGATCGTTTTGTATTTATATTCGTTGAAAAGAACAACATTTTATTTAAGGCTCCTTTATTGTGTAAGAGAACGAAGGGAAACCATTCAAAAGCAGTTTTCGTTCGAAATTTTTTTTTATTCATTATCATTGAATATTAATTTGGTTCGCTTCAATGAGCAAAACACAATCGATCTTAAGGAATGGAAAACACAAAGCATCGCAGATTCTTTTCTCTCCAATTTTTGTGCGAAAAAAATAATCCAAGTTTCACTGGAAATATGATTTGGATGCTCTTAAAAAAAGAACACTAATGCAAAAAAGAATCTCTGTTCATTTTAATTATGCGAAACCTCTATCAACGGACGGCATTTGCAAATTTATTAAATTAATTTGATTTTCTTACGTCTCGGATTTGTATATATTTCAGATACTTTTCACATTTGAAATATTCTAATTTTATTCGTCATCTTTTTTATTCCCTGTTGCGTCGTCAATAATACAAATTTTCCCACAATTTCAATTGGCCTCTGAAATTGGATTCTAATTATACAGCGTCGAATTTTCCAATTGTTGTTCGCTTTTTATTGAAATGAATGCACGACTGACCACCATTAACATCGAAATATTTGAGCTCATTTAGAGAACAACAGCTTGTGATAGCTATCGTTTTCGAGCATTTACGATGCATCTTTAGGTAGAACTTGTTAATTTTGAAAAAAAAAAAAAAATGAGAGAGGCTGAACTTCGATCAGTTGCATAGAAACACTAATAATAATAACAACATCAGACGCTGTTAGAGCTATAAATTTGTTTTTTTTTTTGGTAAAGGCAGTTTGGATCGGTGCACAGTGTGAAGATGACAATAAATTCAGTGATTTTTCGAAGTGATAATAAAAATCTCATAATTTTTTGTTTGCTCTTTTATAGGATTTCAAGTGTGGACGGAAGATGGAATGAACGAAAAAGACGAAGAAAAACAAATCCAGGCAAAGGTAGAAGTGCGAACTACACGAAGAAGTACGACGCTAATTATACAACCAAAAACCGAAATACAATTTATTTTCTCGTCCAATTTTGTTTCGGCTTCATTTCAACTCACCGAATTCGAATGCAACAAGAAATTTTTTTTACCGTAGCTATTGTTCTAGAATTTATATTATCGGTATTTATTATCGAGGGTCTTTGATTTTAATTTTTATTAAAAACATCGAGCACAAATAAAAAGAAAATGTTCAAGTATTTAAATGATTCAACCGCAATCAAAGAAAGAAAAGATTCTCGATAAAACAAAAAAAAAACATTTTACATTTTAATTATTGTAATTATGAAGTTTAATTTGATGTCAAGAATTTATACATATATAAGTTGAAATGAATGAAATCACACATCAGACGATTGTTTTTTTTTTTTTTTTTGAATTTTTGCACATTCAATTCAATTACTCAAACCGGTTAATGTTGCAAGTAAACAAATTTCATTAAAAAAAACCATTCAATTTCTCACGTAAAAAACCAGTTGAACTTCTTAAACTCAAAAATGTTTTGTATTCCATTTGGAACAATGACACTTTGGCTTTTTGATAAAAATAAGTAATGGAACAGTTTTTTTGCTCATCACAATGTATTTATAATGATTGTTCATAATGCTTGACTCGATTGATGTGCACCGTTCAAAAACGAGCGGACAAATACCCCGTTCTTATCATAAATTGTAATTTCACTTTCTGGTCGGTTTTACATCATCATTTTAAATTGAAGCGTATTAAATAAAATTATACGTACAAAAGTTCAATAGTAATTGCAATATTGTGTCCACAAAGATTATCTCAGTCCCATTTTTATATAGCATAGTAGGTCCATGTATTTAGATGCAACGTTGCTTTTTAAAATTACACACTGCCATTTGATAATTTCCGTTTGGAGGCTAACGAACCGCTTCGCTTAGAATTTCAGTTACAATCGACGACATAACCGATCACAATTCTCGTCTGTTTATTTAAATTTTGCTGTTGTTGTTCTTGATGTGGCTTACACACACACACACAGTTCGAAGGTGGCTTGTGTTCGTATTCGATGATTTATTAGAATATTTATTGCCGTCAGAACGAAAATCTTAATCTTGTTCGACTATACATTCGAATAAGTTGGCTGTTTTTTGTTCGTATACGTCAGTGATAACCTACGATGAAAATATAACATAGATAGAGACATACGCACACCAAAATCAACGAATTATAACGACCAATGGTAGAACAAACAGTACAATCGAAAATAATCAGAAGACGTTTTGTGTCGGTGTCTCACTCCATCAATCTACTTTGAGCTTATCAATTTTCGATTTTACTATTTCGAGTATTTTGAATTTTTCAACGTCGAAGTAAACAACATCGTGTCAATCGAGTGTAATCAAAATATTTTATCTAAAGTACATGGGAATAAATAAATGGTGGCTATTTTGCTCAGCTCTATCGAAAGTAGCCGTGTTTGATAAACTCGAACCACGTTTTTCAACACGTTATTTGAACAGGAAAATACGAACCAACAGATTATCGTCCATTTTGACGTTCTTTTTATTTACTTTTTAAACGAAAGAAAAAAAATATATATTATCAATACGAATTTGAACACACGTCCTGTGTTTGAATGTTTAAAAAGGAAGAACACAACAAACAAAAGGGTTTACACATTTTCCGAAGACAAATTTATTCAAGCCAGAGGATGTGGAAGTTTGTATTTTTTGGTTCTAAACAAACGTCCCGATACATTTTTGGCACTTATATTTGAACAACCCAAAAAAATAGTTTGTTTGGCGATAAGAAATGTCTGTTTGCATTCATGAAGATTTTATTAAAAAGGGCATAGGTCTGACTTTAGACTTGTGAATATTTAAAAAAAACCACTTGTGTTTGCAGTGCCGCTAAGTTCTACATTTTTTTTACATTTGCAAAATGATACTTATTTTAATTGTAACATTTAAATCAAACCAAACGGTATGATAATATATAAAGTCCTTAAATATAATTATAAATATCAAATGGACAATTGATTAAGTAAATTGAAATTATTTGAAGTGCAAAATATTGATAAGCAAAATGTGTTGGTATAAGAATATATAAATAGATTTTCTCAAATAATGTCATCATTGAATTATTTGTTTGCGATAGTTTTGAATACCTTTGATACGAAAAGAAAAGAAAAAAAGAATTATGGATTAAAAATCATAATTTTAATACATACGTATGTCTTTTCGATAGTTTGGCTTACCATATAATAAGTATAAACTGTTTTGAGCAGCTAAATAGCCAAAAATATAATGTACTTCATTAGTAAATCTAAAGGTTCATAACGATTCAAAGTGCTTACCTTCGTAAAGGTTTCCAAATTCAAAATTGCAACATTGTAAGCATGATAGAAAAGCGGTTGTTGCATATTCTGAATCATCAAAATGAAATATCACAACTATGAAATCCCTACTACCGTGCTAGATGGTGTCGACACGAGTGGACGGATTTTTAAATTTATTTGAACGACGCCATGTTACTATACTTGTCCATTACAACGTACATGTGACAAAAGAAACATACAGTCCATGTCCACGCTATTGGACATAAACGATTTGAACCGTCAATGTGAACTAGATCAAGTATAGAACTTTACATAGGATCATATACGATGAATATGGATTACACAGTCTGTTTCAAAATACCGTCACCAATGTCGACACCATTTGACATCAAAATTTTGACAGTAAAAATATGTGTTATTGTTGTTGTCGTTTCATTGCTGTGTGAAATATTTTTGCAAAGTAAATAACATTTCCCACTAAAAATATTAAACCATGTCTCCCCAAAATATCCAAGTGGCTTTTTTTGGTCCCATGGCAAACTTGGATGAAAAATAGTTGCACAAATGCAGAGTAAAAAAATAAAATAAAATTAAATTAAATAAATTAAATAATAAAATTTAATTATTTTTTTAATTTTCTGAAATTCGATAACATACATAACTTTGAATGGATGATAGGTGTATTTCGTATCGAAATTTCCGTGAAAAATGTGAGAAGTCACTACCGAAATTTCGCACAAAATTGCTGTAGAAAATGCTGCCAAAATCATGAACTTGAAATAGAGTTGACAAACCCATTCGCTTTTATTAGTAGCTTCGGCGAGAAATTGAAAGGAATCATCGGATGCATCTAGATTAAAAGAATCAAAGCGATTTATTGGCCACATCAAACACGCACCAACTATATTATAATTAGATTCTTACGTTCATTGTAAATGTCCGATAACTTTTCAGAAATAGTTACTAGTTTATGTCGCGAAATAAAGGTATTAAAAATCAAATTCAAAGTAATGAATGTGGCGATGGTTTGCATAAGTGCGTACAAAGATAAGTGCTCCAAGTCAACCGAGGCCAATTTCGAAAATGTGACCACACTTGTCGCGAAAATAGCAATGATAATTGTAATAACAAACAGAGATGATGTATAAACGCTTTTTTCGTTTGCTATCGCCCCGTTCAGCTCGAAATACACTTAGCCAAATTAACATTTGCCGAATTGTAATCAGTGGTTCCATTTTTTGTCATCACAACAATTTTTATTTTTTTTTATTTGATTTTGGTAAAATTTAACTAATTAGAATCGAAAAAAACTTGCATGCAGTTTCAATGTTCAAGAGAAACTGGCGATATCGTTCAATCTTAAAAATGAGGCACGTCATTTCGAATACCAGTAATTATAATTAAGGTCTTGTGCGGGGGACACGTTGTTGCAGACCGTATTGCACTATTTTTATAGATTGAAATAGGTGTGATCCTCCACAATCAATAATATGCATATGATGGAATTCTCATCAATTCGTTGCAACGTATATGACGCTTTTAATTGTTAATGCATATCAGAAAATGTTCCGTTTTTAAAGGATATTGTTGATTTAAAAAACGTGGATTTACTGCACATTTTCCATTTCATTTCGAAATAGTAGTAGAAAAGAAATGACGTGCAAATCAATAAGATAACATATAATTAAATTCTTTTGAATCCACATACAAGAGTAAAGAGTTCAATTTGTATTTTATTATTAGAGAGACACTTCACCATCTATTTTATTTAATCAATATTTTTTCATTTATTTCGTTTGCAATACAACTAGTTTGAATAGGTATGAAAGTTTTATTAAAATGTAAAGTCAATTCTGATGTTCTTTCAATTTTCAAATGGTTCATTTTTACATGAGAAATAAGTTGACGGAGTTCTTGCTTTGTCACATGTTTGCAATATTTGAAGGAGATTTGTTTATTTGATTGTAATTGCCTTCAATACCTTGAACATTTGATAGCATTTGCTTTGAGTATAGATTTTTTTCATAGCCGATAACATTTTTCGGAAATTAATTGTTGTTAAAAGTCCGAAAGCCAATTTCAGATTCCTTTATTCATATCGCGCCGAAAATTACTGTTCCCGAATAATAGTTAAGGAAAGACCAAAAAAATAAAAATGTAGAAAAATCAAATAGATCAACCGCTAATATGAAATTGGTCATTTATGTGTCGCACTGCGGTTTTATTTTATTTTGAGCCTGGTACTACACACACTACATATCATTTCGGTTGATGTGAGTTTATAATACAAATTGGTAATTACTAATTAGCCATGCATTTGGAGAATTTCGACGCTTCAATTCGTTACGATCACGAACCGTGTGAGTAAATTTTTTACAAAGCTGTAACTCGTCTTTCATTCTATTGACATTTAAAAAGCCGTACAAAATCTTACGCATATAAATTATGGGTAATATTGAACGGTTTCCGCGAATCGCAAATTTGGTTACGCAAATGATGCACGAGAAAAAGAAGAGAAAAAAAGTGAGCAATATCGTTTCTGTGTACAAAGAAAAAAAGAGAGAGGGAGAGAGAGAGAGAAAGGCGCATTGTGGTATACGAGTTGATTTGCATTGATGATATGGAAACTTTATTCTATTTGACTCGAAATGCATTTCATTTATCACGAAATGCAGATGGAAAAATGATTCCACGTACACGCGGCTGATACATTTTCTACTGAATTACGTCGCTAAAAAGAGCGTGGCTCAAAGTTTTGGCGATGTAGGCGATTTTTTTTCTGTGTCTCCTTTTCAATTTATATAACACGAAATGTTTTTTTTTTTTTTTTTCTTGTTGCGCTTGTCGACCACGAACCATGCAAAGTGACGAAGACGTAGGTGGTGGAATGCAACAATGCACAGCTTGCACATCGGTTTCCATTATAATGGGCTCTATGTATCCGATAGGTGGTTTTACCGGTTGTTTAGTGAGTGTGCATCAGCCAACAGTACATAACACAATGGCACGATTAGTGGACGCGCGCGCACGTGTACATTTGCGCCCATTCGCGTGAAGCCAACTACAACAGCAATGCACACACGAAACAGCAGAAAAGTGAACAAAAAAAAAGATTGGTTATAATCACAAATAATAAAGTGATTTGAACGAAGAAAATGTGTTCGAATAAATATCAATTTAATTCGCTCATTTGAATCTGTCCATTTGACTGCGAATTTAGATAGCGTAAAAAATGCAATTCATAATTTCCTTGTGCTCACCTCTTTTTTTTCCTGTTCGCCGCGATATATCGCGAACAAAAGCACAAAATGTAATCGCATTTCTTTTCAAATGGGAATGGAGATCGACTTTGGTATATCGATATATGCTAATGCACCATTGAATTGAGTGATTCCGGTGCGCACATATGGTGTACGGTGTAGGCGAGGTATTTGGCTGAATTCTGTCTGAGCCGTGATTTGGCCATTTTCAATACATATTTAATCGGCGCTCAGATTTATGGTTGTTGCCCATACGATCGCTTTACAATAAATTTTTCAAACAAATTTACTGCTCATTTGTTCGATTCGGAAATAGCTAATTTTATGCCGTAGAATAGATAATTCAGTTTAAATCGAAATTTATTGCTCAACTTATTTCTGAATGTATTTGAGCATATGATCGACACGCAAACACACACATTCGCCGAAATATCTCTTTTTGGAAGTTACAAATCTCAACATCAGTATATCTTTCTCAAACATGAAATGGATCTTTATCATATACTTACATTTTTGTTGGCCATTTTCACCTTCATTGACTATTGCACATGTATTTGGTGGTTCAATAAGTCTTTGGCCTGACAACCAGGTCGTGTCACTAATAAAAAATCTCTTTATTTTTTAAAAGTACCATCTGTCTCTAGACTACTGGAAAAATTTCAGACGAATCCGTTCACGGACCTATAAGTTACAGCGCTTGAAAGAGACCAACCTCTAGTTTTTATCGAAAAATGGAAAAAAAAAAGAATTCGATTTTTTAAATCAACAACAATTTTTGTAAGACAAATCTATCAGCAAAGCTTAAACTAAGCTTGGTGATATTGTTCAGACTCTCTTCTATCTACTGGAGCTAGTAAGAAGTTCTATATTACTTTTGCATGTGGTAATACAGGCAACGGAAAACAACTACCCCAAAAATGTCTCTTTTTGAAGAAATGATTAAAAAAATCCAAGATCTTGCTTTGAGGGTCTGCAATATCCTAGTGAATAATCCAGAATAGATCCGAAGCATCACGTGGAACAGAACATTTCGATATATCAGTCCAACATTTGTGCAAGAAAACTTCACTTGAACGGAGGCTGCCGCATTTGTTCACAATGGTTTTGAATGGTAGTTTTATTGCGATGTTTTAAGCATTCTATGCACAAATAATGTAAATATTTTTGTTGATAATTAATTAGCAGTATCCTACAGAACCTATTCAATCCATTTTGGGATAAGGTATAGTCTACACGGTCATCAAAAACCGATATGTCCGCAAAAAGCCATATAATCCCTTTTTTTGTTCGAGCTCGCGTTTTGTGGGACCGTGTCTTTGAAAATATTGTTTTATCAACTGAAATAAGTTGGAACGGTGCCAAATGATTAATTTATGTCATTTTTGAATTTTTTGAATCAAAAGATTACTGTCTTGAGAGACAAAAAATATATTTCAAAATTTTCACAACCTGGTGTCTCTCAAAGCCAAACAGGTGATATTAATTTTCTATGACTTTGATAACGAATCACTTTGTTATTTCCGATGTGGCTTGGTGGGACCTCTATCTATGCTCTGAGTGGAATAATAGTGCAATATAATTCCTTCCCTTCCGAATAAAGTAATAAAATATTGAAATAAGGTGTATTTTGAGGTTGGTCTCTTTCAAGCGCTGTAACTCATAGGTCCGTGAACGGACTCGTCTGAAGTTTTTCCAGTAGTCTGGAGACAGATGGTACTTGTCAAAAATAAAGAGATATTTTATTCGTGACACGACCTGGTTGTCAGGCCAAAGACTTATTGAACCACCAAATAGTATTTATATAAACAGTCACATGTTTTAAGTATTTTGCAAATGACATCGAATGCCAGACTCTCATATTTTTCATTCGGCGAAATCACTTGAAAATGCGGCTGTTAAATGAAACGATTTGCAAATTCCACTGCTCGTTGGACAGACGATACAGTACATTTCTAAAATTTCAACCAAACTGACGATGACACATTTGTTTTCAACGCCGATCCGAGAAAAAATAGCTTTGCGAGAAATCAAGAGAGAGATAGAGAAATTTCGAATTGTTAGACTTTTTTAATACAGACACTTATATCGGGCACTTGTTGCTGATTTTATTGTATCTTACACTCAATAGAACTGTTTTGTTTTGTTTTCGCAATCTCTATTGAAACTAAAAACAGATGCTTTTTGTCAAATATTATTGTGAATAAATGTTCGTAAATGAGTTTGAATTGATGTTTATTTAGACAGAAAAAGTTAGATGAACCATTTGTTCAAATTTGAGTGGGTGATTGCATTGCGTAACCCTGAAAACGTTCATTCGAACATCAGTCAAGTTCAATAGAAAACGAGAATGTTTCTCGGGTTCACGTCACATACTGCTTCTCAATAAAAATGTATTCGGGAAGTATTTTAAAGATGTAATATTACTGAATATTGAAGTAAAAATAGAGGACGTTTTTTTCACTTGTTGTAATTACAATACGGTTACGATTCATTTAATTCAAAGTGAAAACGAGAGAGATAGAGATAGAGAAAGAAACAGCTGTGGCATTACAATCAAATTGTATAACATGTTTTGGATACATTTGCACAAAACGCAAAAATGTCGAGAATAAATATACACGGCTCGTTGAACGATCATATGAATCAGCGTCATTCTTCTAACGTCGGTTTAATTAGCCGCTGTTGTTATCACTTTGCTTACTTTTTTTTTTATTTCAAAGTTGCGTCTCACACAAGAACAATGAGGCGAGAGAGTGCTGTCTG